GCACCCCCCAGCGATGGACCGGTCGAAAGATAGAATTCGGTTCAATGCGCCCTTTTACATTACTGCCGCTACTGATGTCACCAAAGAATGCCAGAGTTGCTAACGCACTAACTGATGAGTTTTTTATACGCAGCCATCAAGAGCAACTAACTTATCAAGATGCACATTTTGCACTTGGTTTCAAGGATCCGTCTTTTTTGTTTTCCAAGATATTATGACTGGAACCCTAGGTCAATGTTATAGATAAGACGTAAGATGTATAATAAGAGACAAGTAAAGATCTGACTCCCTACGAGTCATAACATCACAAACCTTTTATAATATGTTCTCTAAGTTAAAGGGATTCTAGGATAAAGTTTGATTCATATAGCGTAGAAAGTCTGATATGGTATGTTGGTAAAGAAGTGGATATAAGCTGTGGTCGGTAGAGTTCTGGAAGAAACCTACAGTTGGGCTTTCATGATTCTGCACACCGTGTGTCAGGCGTCCAAGGCTCCTCAACATAGGAGCAACATGTTCTTCCCCTTGTCTGTTGCAACCGCTTGCCAGGTTGATAGACTCCCTAACTCTTAACGGCTGTTATCTATGGGGGGCGAATGATTTTCATGCTGTAAGAGATTAAGAGCAGATAGACAGGCTAAAGTGAATACAAAGGAAATGTAAATAAAACGAGGTAAAGTCTAGTGAAGCAGGTAATGTCATATGGACACGGTAATCCAAGGAAAGGGATGTCCCCAACTGCCAACACAAGGGATACCAGAGACAGGATGATTGTGAGCGGCACAAATACGTGGTTGATCCCGGAAGATGTCTAGAGCCGGATGACCGAAGAGAATGAGTCATGTGGCCGAGGAATGATGAGGATTCTATAAAAGGAGCTGCCCGGTCATGATAGACTTCCCTTGGTTCCTCCTCTCCCTGACACAAGGACACTGAGGACCAAGAAAGATTATTACACGTAGTAATTGACTTCGCTGTGCACCCCACATCGTCAGTGGCCATCATTTAACCCATTTGACCTATTGTCGATCCCTGCTTGAACCAGACCAAGTCACCCGTTACAGATAAGGCAAGGAAATACAGCTGATATCTGTGTCTAGCCATACCGCATACACTTATGAACTGAACCAGACAGGCAACAGCACTACTGTGTGGCGTGTGCTAAGGGTTTTTGCGAGTACTATGTTGTTCACGTTCTCATCCCCAAAGTTTGCAAAGTACTTGTCTCGGCCGAGGCCGAGCAAGTCCTCAATCATACATGATTTGTCAAGCATGCAAATGGGCAATAACACTGTTCAAAGTCTGTGATTCTCATAACTGGATGAAGGTAGATGATATAAGTATACGAGCTGGATGAGGCAATGGGTAACTTGTTGAGTGGGCACTCCCCCATAGGCGCTAAAAGGTATATAAGGGTATTCCTGGTCGTAGGAGTGGTAATTGTTTCTTTTGTGATAAAATGATATATTACTATCCAGCTGTGCGATGACATAGTACATACTGCCTTTCTTCGAGCTTTTGACCTCTCCAGGGAGTCAAGCTATTATTCAATACCATTCAGTGCATCCCTAAGTGTCTTCGACTTAATAGAAGTAACTGACCCATCTACCTTACTTCGACACAGAAGCATTGCTTGACTCGAGAGCCGAAACTCTTTGCCGAAATCATCTGGTACGTAATAATGACGCTCCACGTCAACCAACTGAGGTTCATGAGGGAAGAGGTTCTTACCATCTATATCCCTCTTTGGTTGAGAAACTTTCAACTTGCCACTACAGACCCATAGATCTCTATCCAAGAATTCAGTCTTTAAAGTCCGGCCAATGTATGCATCTAATTCATCATGTTGTGACTACGTTGAGATGCCAAGCAACTCTTGTGTACAAGGCAACTGTGGGAACAAAACGCATCGCTGTTGCCCAGTTATGGTCCTGTAACATTTTTTTTCGGATGGTTTCCAGAGGCAGAGATTGCTTGCGGCTGTTGTCTAGTAACTGGATTGGTAGCAAAGTCTACCAAAAGATAGTATTGGTAAACGCGTTCGAATTGACGGCATCCATCGAGACGGCTGACATCTTCGTCGTGAAGGAAAAAGAACTTGATAAGGAGTACCTTTTCGAGCAGAATCAAGAAGACACAGATACATTCACTGTATGATCATAACATATAACTGTGCTGTACTTCTGACCGTCGGCTGGTATCCGAAACTGGAATTAATCAGACTCCAGTGCCACGCCTAGTTTCCAAAACCCGGTAGGCCCCAGAGTGGAAACGCGATCATACTCGTAGCTCAGTTCGCCGATTGAATGTATCTGGGTTTCTTCCGAAGGCCTAAGGCTAACTCCAAATTTTGAGAGAGATAGAAGAAAGTTTAGATCATCCAGATAAGGTATCCATGAGTTCCCGGATCGCGATCTAGGATTGAAAAAGTCAAACAAGCCATACAAATATACCGACTGCGTCAACAGCATTAACTCCTTGCCATTGGTAGGAAGAATAAGAGGCTGCAACCCGCTGTCAAAGATATCGTTGTTCAAGCCGATCTTTCTCAAGGACTCGATTAACAGTTCGGCAAGTTGTGACGTGGAGTTACTATGGATAACCTCAATGAGAGCTACCATTCTCTGACATGGATCTGTCCAAGCGGTCCGAGCTACCGCAATGATGTTATCCATAATTTTTTTGTTACCAATGACCGCCAGGACGTTCCCAACAGATGCAGTGCATATGATGTGTTTGAACGTGGAAAGTTCATGAAGCAAAGTCATCTGTGCTACCCGGGCATTTCACTTGATTTAATGAGAATCTGAAACTTCTAGAGTGTTAATGTATGTTGAAACTCAAACCGAAGTGCTGGTATATCATAGAAGCTTGAGAACAACAGGAGGGATTTAGTCAAAAATATTGAGTCTGGTTGCTGGACCAGAGTAGTTTTGAACCTGAATGCAATGTTGACGAATTCGGCAGCCCATGCTTCAAGAAAGGATATTACCTAGTCATAATTTGGTGCGACGCGCTTAGCATTGCTGTTCCGCAATCGATTGGCAACTTTTACAAATACTTCCAAGGCGGCGCGAAGCAGATGAAAATCTCTTTTTAATGCTGCGATATAGATCAACACACCGTCGGACCCAAACTATATTGCAGTTAAAAATACCTTAAGATCTCTGGTTTACAAGGCAAAATCACGGTCTTCAAAGCAGGTTTCTACTGTTACCGATGTGCCTGTGGAAGAAAGAACTGGAGTCGGTGACAAAGAAGCTGTTCTTGTCATGAGAACTTCATCTCCTGACTTAGCCAAATATTTCTCTTTGTCCGAGACGCCGGAGACGGACTCGAATTTCGCCCGTGACAAATGGACAGAAGAAATTTGCAGCTGAATTCTTAAAAATTTTTTTCTTAACTGGCTGGATGATATCACATTAACTCCTCGTGTACTGTGGTTGAACGCTCCTCCCGGCAGGGGGAAGTCTGTCATGGCTACTTTCATCATCAACCATTTGATAAAAAGAGGAGACAAGTGTAATTACTTCTTCTTTCTCTTCACCTCAGAAGAGAAGTGCCTGAAAACATGATGCTTAAATCATTGGCCTGTCAAATGGCAAACGTGATGCCAGAGTACGCCGAGAAAATCTGGGCAGTTGCAGGTACGCGGACAGGCTCCCAAACTCCGGGCCTGATTCTCAGCAATATTCAGATTGGAAGCAACATTCTGAATTGTCCCTTGAGCTGCTGAAGAGTTTGTGATTGAAAGCAACTAACTCAGAGATGAAGTTCGTAGGACCAGAAACGAGGCTGATTCTGAGGATTTTATTGAGGGCTTCGGCAAGGTTTGCTCCATGATGAGGTGTCGAGAGAAATATGATTCCAGATACTGCGCTGACGATAGAAGCATAAGCCGGATTAGCTTGTCCCTGGATGTAGGTCTGTTAATGCAAACGGCTTTGTGCTAGTTCTTGTAAACCGATATCTCGCAAAACCAGGTTTGACCAACCTCTTTGGCAATGAGGCCTCCCATCGCTCTTAGGTTTGAACCTGCAAAGCTTTCGCCTCCACTTCTCGAACTGAACTCGCATTTGCAAGTTAACATCAGGCAAGCGAACAGTTTAGAGATCAATTTGTAACTTTGACAAAGACTTATCGTTTTGCTGACCGTGATTACTATGCCACCTGGCCACTCCGACCAACAAAAAAAGCAGGGATAAGTCTGTACAGGATTTGAGCTGTGGGGTTGAGTTGCCAATGTCCTGAGTAAATGATGCAACAAAAACGAGAGCAACGCTGCCCAAGGGTTCAGATATTTGAGCTTCCATTCAGCTTTCTCGTACAGCAAATGAGATGCAAGCGGAGAGAAGGCCCCGCTTATCAAGGCAGCTTGCATCAACTCTGATGTGACAGTAAATCCATTGGATCATTGCAAACGACCGCTGGGCCAGTAATATATTAGTCCTCCTGTAGATTAGTGCAGCGCATGCTAGGTTTATGACCAAAGTTCACCGAGATAGCTGCGGCTGCATGAGTTAAGTCACTCTAAGTAGGTAGGTGTTACACTATGGCACAAATTACATGTAACCAACAGCGATGAATCGGCTGACAGATGCAACAAGCTATCAATCAAGAAGTAGACACCTGGGTCGGTGTCGTTCGCATGGCTCTGAAATAGCGTTTGCAATAGCGCTTCTGATCTTGTTTTTCGGTATGAATAACAGTCACATAATGCGTTCATGTTAATCTAAAGTTGTTCGTTGGTTGAGACCGGCCTTAATTGAATAATTCCTAACTGCTATGCACAGATGTGAACGACAAGAAAGGAAGGAATGCTCCCACAAAGCGGAGCTGCCATACCACCCCAAATTTGCCCCAGTTACCAACACTTGATCCTTGTTCAGATTGAGTTACACTCATGCCCAGGTTAGGAGCAGATTGGATACCCCTGACCTTCATTTCTTTGATGTACCTAACTTCGCGACAGCAGCATGCTAAGCTTTCACACTGACCGCTTAGTTGTGGCACTGCTGCCACTGCAGGTAGTAGACCTGGGTGAACTTGAGATCCGTGGAATCGACCTAGACACAACAGAAAAGATATATCAGCAAATGATTCCATTGCACTAAGCGACAGTAAACTGAGTATAGTCATCACAAGATGGACAGAGGCTCTCAAAGCTCCTCCTCTACTTCAACAGGCTCATCTCCACGGCCAGTAACCTTCGAACTTGAACCAGAGCGACACCTCCTCCAACGGATAGTGATATTCTTGAGGGACCTTACCGTCATCAGAGCAGGCTTGTTCGAGTCGAGTGGCGAGAGGCGAATCTCCGAGTTGATGTTTAGCAGGCCCTCAACGCCACACGGCGACCAGACAGTGCTCTCGACACCGAAAGCGTCGGTCTTGAGGTAGTTGTCGTCGTACGGGCCGCTGAGGACTAGAGTCGAGGTGATCTGGACAAGTATCTGTCAGCCAAAGCTCAAATCGACAAACTCAACGTCAGAAAAGGAGAATGTAGAGAATTTACCTGGCGCGAATCACCCGAGAAGTAGTACGTGGCCTTGCAAGTGCCAGTGTCACCGGCAGGAATCTGGGCATAGCCACGATAATCGGCCTTGAAGATGGAGAACTGCCAGCCCTGAGGATAGCGGATCTTGACATTAAGCTGGCAGTTCTTGCGGTACTGGGAGGGAGCGATGCCGGGGCCAGCCTGGGCAATGAACTCGGAGTAGAGAAGGGTCAGCGTGGTCAGGTCGGAGGACAGCTGGCCCGAGACCGAGCCAGCCGGGCAGCCGGAGCCAGCGAAGGCGATGCCAGTGATCTGGACCTCATGGCCGGAGGGACCGGTGGCCAGGGTCTGCTCGATGGGCTCGGCGGCCGGGGCTGGGGCGGCGACAGCCAAACCGGCGAAGAGGGCGATGACGTTCTTGAGCTGCATGGTGGATCTGAAGAGGGAGAAGCACTTCCTAACTGCAATAGGGCAGCTGCTGATGAGGATGAGATGCTCTTGGGGCAGACTGGTTTGATGGAAAGGCCTCTTTTATAAACGATTTCGTCCTCTGAAACTCATGAGATCTTTAATGATGGTGACAGCCATGCTTCTATTCTTGTCGACGACAGACTCATCACGTATCTTGTAGCTGCCACATCATCGCCATGAGCCCGGAAAAGTCCCTTCCTGGAAATCCGGAACGTCACGAGATGCGATAATCTGTCCCTTTGCAGGAGCTTACCCTCCTGGTGCTAAGTCTAACGAGCTATGACAAGACACTAGCAACCGGGACGAAATGAAGTTGTGGTGACGATCCCACTATCCGGGATAGCAGCACTATACAGTCAATCTATCTTCATACTCTTATTCCACAATGCTTCTATTTTGAGCACTGGCAAGCTCTCCATAGCTGCATGCCATCGCCTTGAGCTGGTGTAGTAACCAATTGATCGCTACATCGTATCACCATGTCGCCATATGAACGAGAGGGGGAAGTTCATATCTGCGCACAGAACCGAAGCAGACTTAAGTAAATTGTATGGCATCTAGGCGGCAGAGGCTCGCAGGTTGTTTTTTGTCCCCGCTGCATGGTCAATATCGGCGATGCAGACTACCTACACAGCCCACGAAAATAGAGACCACGTGAGTTGGGCAAGCCGGGAACACAACCGGCCCAGTATCCAGGAACTGCACGATACAGCTTGGAAAGACTTGTTTTTCGGGGAGGGAAGGGGGGCGACAAGCATACGGGAAGCGCGGCGGATAGGTGAGGGCCGAAACCAAATAGGCTAAAGGAAAATAAACAAGCTGAGCCATCGCGTTAGCGGTGTAAGCGATGTATGCCGTGCGGGTTGCCCAATCGCTAGGCTACGGGATAATGAAATTCAATATGTTGGCAGTGCGGAGGCGAGAGGCGGAATATAGCTTGTTCGGAGCCCAAGAGACAAGTCATATCACTAACCTCTTCCCAGTCGACTGGATCATGTGTCACGCAAAACTTCCTTGACAAGGTCCCTTTGCGATTTCCGGACCAATGGTTGACTTCTATACTGATGACAGGTCCCAAAGACGGTTGTCGAGTGACGAGATAGAGTTTGTATTCCAGGACTGCTTTGACTGCACTGGTGGCAAGGTGCAGTAACTGGAGCCGAGTGGACTCTGTGTGTCAGCCTAACCTCATGTACTACCCAAGAGTTGCACGACGTACCTCGAATTGAGCTGAGGAGGCTGCACTGTCACTTCGGGCCTTGGGACATCAAGCTTCGCCATTCACCCATACCCGAAGGCCTTGGAGACCTCTTCTGAAGTGTTCTCATCGCCTCAATCGGTGCCGCCTTCCGAGGACGACTTTTGAGGACAAAGGCTGTCCTCCAACCGACTGTCTTGAAGAAGCCTCTCCTCGATACATGAGAACCCGGCTTCTGGGCGCCCATTGGAGAAAATAAAAGCCAACTCGCTGCATGAGCTACCTTCCATCGGATCCTTCTCAGTTCTCCCGTGCAAGTGTGTGCTTAGAATCAAGTGCCTAGTCTCCATATTTTCCTTTTAAGTCCTTTGTACTTTGTTGACCGTCAGGTACACAGCGGTACGAGTTGCTCTGTAACCGGTTATGGCAGTAATCATTCAATGCAACAAGAGGGAAAGAAGTTCGATCTCTTGATTCGTCCGTTACTTCGTCACTTAAGTGTATGACATTTCTGATAAGACAAGAGGAGGTATGCCGATACTTCCAAGATGCTGGTGTTGGTGGCCGGTCATGAACGGATCTAAAGCACGGTCGGCCTGACTGCTCTGCACTGTTTGATGGCAACTCTTCAATATACGGACTACTAGAGGAGCTGGAACATATAGAAGAGCTTACCGATCACTCTAGCGCTGCGCTTGACCGGCTGCTTCGCTTGAAGCAGGCGGGTGTATGGATTGCTCACTCCGTGATGGAAGAACGGGGTCTACGGAAGCCAACGAAGCCGTGTGACTGTTTGACGAAAATGCCATAGGTAATGACGGTGATGGCGCTGTCGCAGCTTGGCCGTGGTCTTCGGGCGCGTCTGGGCAGGATCAGACTGAGATACATGGCGCCTTTAAACCCGCTTTCGTACTACAAGCTGAATAGCGAACAAAAACGTGGATCGGAGGGAGAGCAAACGCGTTAATATTGTCCAGCTGACGACGGATCATCTCGGTGGTTCCTTGTCCAACGATGCTGGTACTGGCCGTTGGAGAAACCCATGGGCAGGATGGGGCTTCTTGAGCTTCGCCAATAACGGCTTTCTCAAATTCCAGGGACGAGCCGTCCTGGGAAACCTTTATTCGAATACTGCTTTTAGGGAACTGATCGAAATGAGCGAATCCGACTCAGTAGCAGGAGGTTGTCGCAGCTGGGCCCGCTCGGGAACTCATAGCGGGCACGCTTGTGGCCTGTGTTTTCGCTTGACATGTTGGGGAACCTGAGTGCTTAACTTCTCCCAGGATTTCCTTGATCTTGACGAAATGGAAAAATGTTTTGCAGCGAGGGGGCTCAGAGGCAAGTTTAGGTTGGAGGGAGGTATCAGAGTTCATATCCGCAATAAAACTTTTCCTGCCATCCCACAAAAGCACAAAAGGGGGAAATGAAAATAAAGCCATCCAGTCGGCGATTACTGGGGCGAAAGGTTTAGGATGAAGGAAGCTCTCCAGCATTAACGCGTCGTTTGAGTTGCTGAATGGGTGGAAAGTTGATTGTAGGCAGGCGACCAGGTGATGAGGGACATTAAGGAATGGCTCCTTTCGTGGAAGGACCGCAATTGGAACAAAGGAGACGACAACAAAGACATGATGCGACGCGATGGAGGTTTTCCATGTTTCGAACCCTCGAGAACTCGATCCCCATCTTGAGGCTTGCGGCTGGGAATCTGGCACAAAACACGGGGCTGAGCGCGCCCGATGGAAGCCCCCACTGATCCGGGGGTTCGGTGAGTTCACAAGATGACGCGATTTTTCACTTGGCCTCCAATCGGAAACAGCCGCAGGCCGAGGCCAGACCCGCCAGCCACCGGATATGACGGCATCCCGCGCAAGATAAACTACGTCATAGGGCCCAGAACGGGTGGAAAACTCGTGGAAGCATTTGCCGAAATGGCGGGCTGGGGCATGCTTGTTTACCGGCCTTGTGCGCCCATGACCACAGGAAAAAAAATTGTAGAAAGCGACAAAGCCTGAACTGGGAGACCGATGAGAGTCACTGCTCTGGGACCGCTGTGCCTGCCATTGCGGGTGCAGCCTCAGCGCAGTTTCCTGCTTCTGACACGCCCAAATCAAGACGTGCTGTTGCCTTGAGAGCAGGCCGATGCGAGCCGTTGGCAGCAAGGCCTGCGGAAGGAGCAAGCGCTGCGGGTCCGATTAACAGGATCAGCAAAGATCTCGGCAGACCCAGGTCAGGACCCTGACCGCTGCGGCAGCCTGAAATTCAGCAGAAAATCCAAGATAACCATGATGGCATTCAAAAATGTCCAAAAATCAGGCTTTCATAATAAAGATTTACGGAAGGGCTGAGATTCAGCAATAGAGCTGCTGTTCGGGATGCTGTTAGTGGTCCATGTCCCGCGGGATAGCGCATGGTCGCTTAGGTAATCGGCTGCGCCCAGAGGATCCAGACCGGGCCACGGTTGAGCCAGCGCCGGTTTCGACGGAGTCCAGGCCCTGGCTAACTTGGCCTGGGGAAGGGACAAATTTCACGGCCAACCCTCAGCCCTCAGCCCAGGCCCGGCGCAACGCTACTCCCGCTTTCAACGACGCCTCACGCCTTACGCCTCAAACGGGGAACAATTCAACGGCTCAACGCCCCATTGCTAGCCCAGCGCCCACACACTTGTCGTCGCGCTGTGCTTCCGACTCTCAATCATCTCCCAATCATCCCCCCATCTTTGCATCTAGATCCACTAAGCACACCAGTTCGATCTTCGCCATCAACGCCGCTCGCGCATAATCGTGTCCACATTAAAGCCCGATGACTCGCCCTTGGCATCGCTGACACGACGAATATCGACGACGACGACGACGACGCTGCCGCTGGAATCATGACGAACCCTGTTGGAGAGGATAACTGGCTAGAGCATGTCGAACGGCAGATACGCCAAGCCACCGACCTCGAGGGTCGCGTGCGCGTGATCGAGTCGTTTCAACGTGCCACGCTCGCTGAGCCCGGTAGCCTGAAGCTGTGGATAGCCTACTGCGAGTATTTTTGGTCGCTTTATGTCGACTGCAACCAGCGCGGCAACGAGATCGGCTGGCCCCAGGACGAGCTGGCTATTGGCCGCGAGACATTCACATTCGATGCTGCTCTGAACCTCTGGCAGGAGGGCTACGAGGCCGTGCAGTATCGCTTGTCCGACAGCCACGAGCTGTGGAATCGCTGGGTTTCGCATGAGATGGAGCTGTTGCGACGCACTACAACCGAGGCTGGCGTACGCAGAATTACTCAGCTTTTCAAAAATCGTCTGCTTGTGCCCCATGCTACGTGGAACGAGACGTCGCAGATGTTCTCGACTTTCCTGTCTGAGTACAACCGCCATGCTTGGGAGACCGAGATGGAACAGATCACCCGCAACGCCCAGGGCGCGAAGAAGCTTTACGAGCAGCGCGATCCCTGGGAGATGAAGCTGGCCGCTGCCACGAGATCGCGCGATGCGGCTGCAATGCGCTCAGTCATGACTGAGTACCTCGACTGGGAGATCAAGCAGGCCAAGACCAGGAAGGATAGAGACGAAGCCATCGCCTGTTTTCAGATCTGCCTGGGTCTCTTCTCGCGCGCGCTTACCGGCGTCCTCTCCTCGGACGAGAATACCTGGATGAATTACATCGTATTCGTGTCTACCACGCATACAGATATTAAAGAGGGTCGCTCGCCGGTCCCTGGTCATATGGTACCCGATATGCTGGACGCGCTATCGCGTTCAGTCAAGCACGTACCATGGTGTGGTGCTCTTTGGGCGCGCTACATTCTGGCTGCCGAGGAAAGTGGCCTGTCATTCTCTGATATTGAGCAGATCAAGCACTCTGCCACGGACAATGGCCAGCTCGACCGTGATGGCATGATGGGCGTGCTCGAGATGTACGCGGCATGGTGCGGCTACCTGAAGCGCACTGCCATGGTCCCTGATGCGTCCGAGGAGGCTGTTGACGTAGCCGAGGTCGGCCTGCTCTCGGCCTTGGAAGATGTGAAGCACTGGGGCACACGCAAGTACGACAACTACCAAGGCGATCCTCAGTACCGGCTGGAAAAGATTTTGATACAATTCCTGACCGAGAAGAAGGATGATATTGATGGAGCTCGCGCGGTCTGGGAGGATCTGGCGAAGAACCCGCTTCATGCTGGAAAGTATGATTTCTGGCTCAATTGGTATTTCTGGGAGATGATGGTTTTTACAACCCTACGGAACAGGACCCCCAGTCCGACCCCGACGAATGCCTGCCAAGCCTTGCGCGTGCCGACCTTTGCTACGGAAGTCTTGACTCGTGCACTGAAAGTGCGCGGGTTGAATTGGCCCGATCGCGTCATGGAGATATACCTTCAGCACTGCAACGACTACGAGACCGCCGAGACCCTAAGGGAGGCCCAGGATACCGTGCTCAAGACCCGCAAAGCCTTGGCGAAGCGTCGCGAGCGGGAGGCCGCCCAGGCTGCACAGGTTGCTCAGGTGCAGTGGGCTGCCCAGACGGTAAATTCCGCTGATTATCATATGGTTGATGTCTCGGAGACCGTGGGCTCTCCTGGTTCGAAGAGGAAGCGCGAAGAGACCCCTGAGGATGGCACGGGCAGCAAGCGTGCCAAGAACGAGAACAACGATGAGGAGCGTCTCAAGCGCGACCGGGAAAACACATCCGTCTTTGTTCTGGATTTGCCGGCTGAGGTGACGCAGACCAAGTTGAAGCAGTTTTTCCGCGAATATGGTCACATCAACAACATCGACATTCAGAAGCGTGATGGCGAGGTTGTGGCATTGGTCGAGTTTAAGACATCGGACGAGGCCAAGTCAGCGTTGCTTCGCGACGGCAAGTACCTCGGCGACCGCGTTGTGCGAGTTCAGCCAGCCACCGACTGCACTCTGTTTGTTACCAACTACCCCCCCGATGCCGACGAGAGGTACATCCGTCATCTGTTCAAAGACTGTGGCGAGATCCACAGCATCCGCTTCCCAAGCCTAAAGTACAACACCAAGCGTCGGTTCTGCTACGTAACCTTCCGCAACCGCGAAGCTGCCACTGCTGCCACTAAACTCGACGGCAAGCCCCTCTCTGACGGCAAATACAAGCTCGTCGCCAAGTTCTCTGATCCTCTCGCCAAGCAGCAAAGGCACGGCGCCCAAGCCGAAGAACGCGAGCTGCATGTCATCAACTTGCCACGCGGCACGTCCGAAGAGGATATCAGTGGGTTGTTTTCCAAGGCAGGCCGTGTCGTCAGCGTGCGTGTGCCGCGCAACATGGCCGGCCAGAGCCATGGCACGGCGTTTGTTGTGATGGAGACGAAGGAGCAGGCCCAAGAAGCGATCCGGTTATGCGACAAGCTCATCTTTGGGAACCATCCCATCAAGGTTGAGCTGTCGCGTCCGACGACGACCAAAACGACAGCAGTGGCTCGTGTCATGGACGGCACCCCTGAGCCTCAGGAAGGCCAGGGTATGCCAACTCCTGCGGAGATTGCTGCGCGGACGATTGCTGTGCTGGGGATCCCCGATACCATGACCGATGCTCGGGTGAGGGCTGCCCTGACGTCGGCTACAAATGCGCCGATTGTTAAGCTTGTGCTGCATCCCGTGCATGGAGGAGCTATCGTCGAATTTGCCGACGCTGCGGCTGCAGGGAAGGCTGCCCTGTCGATTGATGGCATGGAGATTGAGCCTGGGAAGAAAGTTCGCACCGGGACGACACAGGAGCTCTTCCGGAACAAGGCTGAGAAGAGGGTCGATCGAATCGACAAACCTCATTCACAGCCGCAGTCGCACGCTCACCCTCTACAGCAACAGGCTTCGCAAGATAAGAAGTCCGCTGCAGAGCTGATGCCTCCTCCCACATTATTACGTCGGCCTGGGTCTGGCCCAAAGCTGAAGAGAGGGTTAGGGTTTGTGGGTGCAATCTCGGCCAAGAAGAGTGCTCCTGCCACGATCAACGGTGAACAGGGTCAGACAGGGAGCAAAAGTAATGAAGACTTCAGAAAGTTTTTCTTGGCCAGTCGGACAGCGGCTAATGCAGAAGGAGAGGCGAAGAATGGGAATTCTGGACAAGGTTAAAGATGGATGGGTAAGCGACAAGTGTAACGATATTGTTATGAATGGATGAAGGTGGGTTTAACATTCAAGAAGGACGATTATGTATTTTACTTGAAGAAGAAATTATGGTTTGACAGGATTGCGGATTGCTGGCTCGTTCTGGATGGTTGGGATCGCGGTCAGTTGGCGGATTGGGAGTTGTTGGCTGTGCGAAGTGTTGCTTGGTGAATACCCCATTGGGACGAATGTAATATATTCTTCCTCGCTATGACGTCGGTCTTGATCACGACGATTTTTTGAAATATGGTACAGTTTCTGATGAGTTCCCCCTAAGACATCCTCTCCAAACGCCAATGTCCTTCAACCTCTCCCTGTCCTTCGGCGCATTCTATCTTCCCTCATACCTAGTCAAACAGCCTTCTCTCTTCAAATTTTCCAATCAATCCTTACGTACACATTACCATCCCTCACTGACGATCACTTCCCCCTCTCCGTCTCTCCTCAACCACCTCCCCCGCAAACGCCACACTTCCCCTCTCCACGCCCGCCCCGCCCGTTCCAAACTGCATCATCACCTCCTCTATCTCCTCATTCGGCGTGTAATACTCTTCGTCATCGACGTCCTCACTTTCAAGTCTGCCTAGTTGTCCTCCTGTAGTTTTCTTGGCTGCTGTTTCCGAATTGTGGGTTTGTTTCTTTTTCGGGAGAGAGGGACTAGCTCCTGTGCCGGGGGATGAGCGGCATCGGGATTGTTCAGGGGCTTGTTGAAAGTGGTGATGATGAGCGCTGGACATCCCTCCGTCGAAGAGGAGGTTGAAGAAGGCGTCCGCGTCGCCGGCTTCTGCGGCGGCTAGGCGGGGAGCGGGGATTAAGCCGGAGCCGGAGTGTCGTCTCCTGGAACTTGCGGCCGGCCCTATTTGCGTTGCGTTTGGGGAGGCTTGAGGTTCTTCCATGGATGGTTGGAGGGTTTTGGGGGGCGAAGAGGGGAGGGAGCAGTGAGTTTGGGAGGAGGGGTGGGGGTTTACTGGGGGCATTTTGAGGAACTGGGAGAATGTTGCAGTTAATAAAGGGAACTTTGCGGTCGTTAGGCGCGAAGACGGTGTTGTCCAGTGATTCGAAGTCGTTGAATGGGGGCACTGAAGAAAGTTGTTGGGTCTTGGGCGGGGGTTTTGAGGGGAGAAGCATAGATCTTGAGAGGACTTTTAATAGCGATACGTCACTGTCTGGTCGTCTAAACGATCACTGCTTATCTTGAGCACCAATCTCAGACGTAGCCTAGATAACAGACCGTGAGTTGTTTAGAATCTGTGGTTCCCTGGTCAGCATCCGAGTCGAACATCCTTAACGGATTGGCAGAGCAATCCCGTCATCGATGATGTCAGGCCCGACTCGTTGGATCGGCAAACCCTTGCTTGCGCCAGATATTGCCATGGCTTCTAGAAGCTTTGACTCAGCGAGCCGCTAGCATTTTGTGCGATCTGTACTAACAGGACCTAGATGGCTGTCAGGGGCATCTCAGAGGTAGAACCTCAGCCTGCGTTCTCGTCTTAACACTCTGGGAAACAAAGCCTGTTGTGCCCAAAACAGCTCGAATCAAACACGAATGGTGACTTCCCCGTTGACATTCCCTAGAGTGGCTGTCTCCGTTGCCATAAAGCTCTCCCAGTCCCGAATGATCCCCTCGATCTCCTCTTCGGTCGTGATCCCCAGCTCGAGGGACTTGCGTCGCAGATGTCCTGCCTTTAGCCGCTCAATCATGGCCATTCCTGCATCGTGTAAATATTTGGAGCACCAAAAGGTATTGATGAACTTGAGAACCTACCCCACATCCTCCGATCCTCCTCCTTTGCAAAACACCATGACCCAAACCCCATGTCAATCCTGCTCTTTTTCACACCAGCCTTAACACACCACTCAACCAACCTCATACCGGCCTCCGGATGCCCCCCATCAGCCTTCATCACCTCCCTCATCAACATCTCCATCTTCCTTAGCCCTTCCAGCTCAGGCCAGCAATGCCAGTTCCTCACATCCGCCTCCCTCAGCGAAATAATGCCCCCTTCCTTCTTCACTACCCTTACCATCTCCTTGATCGCTTTAACTGGGTCCTCTATGTGGCATAAAACTTGATGCGCATGCACAACCTCAAACTCCCCGTCCTTAAAGGGAAGGTAACACACATCTGCATTGACAAACTCCATCATCTCTGCTAACCCCTCCCTCACGGCATGTTCCCTCGCCCGAGCAAGCACATCATCGGAGATATCTGTTGCGACGATCCTTGCTGTTGGGGGAAGGTGTTTGGCGAGGGAGGCGGACAGCGTGCCGGGGCCGCAGCCTATGTCAAGGACACGGATTGGGAATGATGAGGAGGTTGAGGAGAGTCGGGCGAGATGGGGGAGTAAGTGAGGGGCTGAGTTGGTGACTGTGCGCCAGGAGTGGTGGAGGGTTTGGGAGGGAGCGTGACCGTGGTGGTAGATGGGGGGCATTTTGGATTGGATGGTTGGGTGAAGTGGATGGAATACTGTTTATCTTGAAACGATGCGGGAACCGTATTATTTACTGGGATGTTTACATATGTTCCTCACATCGTTGAGGGTAGTGATGCTGAAACTGGGACGATGAAGTCGATGACATGCCGCGGGATCCGAAGCTGGGGCATTGTCAAGGCTGTGGAGACGGGAGACTGCACAAACCCTGATCTTCTTCCCGTGTGAGGCAAAAAGGACTGTCGCGATAGTCAACTACCTTTGCTAAAAAATTCAAGACATGTTCTCATTTCTGATGAGTGTGTTGCAATTATAGGCCGTTTGGTTGAGCAACTCTGAAGGCTTCATCCTGAGAATACATCACCAAATGAACAGCCAGTGCCTAAAAAGTTGACTATTATCATGTTCCCCGATCTAGAGTCAGACAGCAATAGCCACGGCTCAATGGTCTAGTGGTATGATTCGCGCTTCGGGTTTCCACCCAGTTCCTGAGAGAAACAGGTGCCGGAGATGTGCGAGGTCTCGGGTTCGATCCCCGATTGAGCCCCAGCTGTTCTTACTAGTCTTTTTTGTCTTTTATACCCAGGAACTTTGGAGTTGTTCTTATTGTTAGGTTGAAGGTTGATTGCCTCCACCGTGATCTACCGAGGTGAACAGTGTAATGAGAAGATCATTGTCCTTGTGCTACAGGACCTGCACATCATCTCTCTACGCATAACAAGTGGAAAGTCAGCTATCCTCTCATGTTTTGTCCCTAATGTCTTTCATACATTATCCCTTGGAGGTTGCAATGTCTCACGAGCTGATAACATCCTGGATATTCTGTACTTTTGCGAAGAAGGTATGGAACTCGAATCCAGTAAACAATCCGGATCTCATCTCCCGACTCAAGGCAAATTGGAACATCAGCTATCTCTCCTCGGCGTCTCCTTGTTAATTGTCTCCCGTGGCCCTACGTGCAAAGAAGCAGTATTCCCATGCCTGCCAACATAATTGAAATAGACTGGGGGCAATAAATGGACTGGAAACAAGAAGCTCTCGATGTGAGCAAGCCCCAGTATCTCAGGCCGCGGGGCTGGCCACAAGACTCTGATGATTTTGTCAAGCTCCATGTTTCCATGTTACTAATAGACTCCAGTGCATGCATAGTATTTGACCACAGCTTTGAAAGCTTGAATGAAATTGCAGCATCTAGCAGCTTGGAGGATGGCAGAAGAGAACCGAACCGAGATTGGCTATAGACTGGACATACATGAAGCCCCGCAGGGCGGGGGTTACCGAAGAGAGTGGTTAATGCTGCAAGGTTGAGTGGCTCTGGACGTTCAGGCTAACTGCAAGGCTCAATACTATCAAGATTTGAATTGTACTCTTCAACCACATTCTACTACATTGGTGTTTGGTCGTACCCGCGGCACCAGCGGGAACTTACCATTAGGCTTTAGCACCCGGGAAAACCTGGAATTGAGGGAAAAACCGGTGCGGGGATTAACTATGGTAGGCGAGAAAGAGTATCGAACCTTTGATCCAAACACCATAAACTCGACCCTGTTGATCGGCTTCACTGCACTTACACCGATGCCTCGCAGCTACACACGTGACTACAACTTGCGCTATGATATACTTCTAGTATTATTGTGACAAGGGCCAACTTGAAATTGTTCCGAAACTGTAGCTCGCACTAGATAGATATGAGATGGCCTATAAAGTGCAGAGTAAGGCTGCAACCTGACATACATTCACAGAAATGTCGAGTTTCCTGATTGCAAAAGACCCCAGAAATGATTCAGCAACTGTGCATCTGATCTGCCTATTCATCTCTTAAGTCAACATTCATCATGTTTACTTGCGCTAAAGTAATGACAAATCGTCTAAACCTTTAGGAAAGTTGATATATCGAAAGCGCATTGCAGGTTTTACTGTACCACCAGCCGTAGCATCCAGTTCTCGTAGTTGACTCGTAATCAAATTGATCGAGTCACAACCGACTATAACCTTGATTCAATAGGTTTCTATGAGATGTACTGAAACAATAACCAAAGGGCAAATGCCGATGTCAACTTTTTCCCCACAGTCGCAACTGGATGCGTACGTAGCCTTGCTATGTCCGATCGGCGATTGGAGCGGAGTTGTAGTGGTGTCGTATAACGTAGCTTTAGAAGGAAAGTATGATAAAAGTGTGTGGAAACTCAATCAGCGCTGATTAGAGTCTATCTATCGTGGGAGTGAACTGTGCAGAAGCATGAATTTGTGGTCATGCTCGCTTTTCTCAAGTTGCTTAAAAACCTGGGAAGCAGGCACATGGGAGCCATGCTACCTCCTATTCGATAGCCTAGGCTTCTTTTCCTGCCCTCTCGCCTCTTTCAACAACCCATTTGCCTGCAAGCTTGACCCAAGGGCTTTTTGGTCTTCCAAATGCTCAAGTCAAGGGCCTCCCAGATCAAACTCCGGGGAAAGCCTGGGACGCTTCCACAGGGCACCCTATCCCGTTACCACCCCTCCTTCGCTCCCCCCTCGCAAGCCCGCCCCAAACCTAACGTGCTGATCATCTAGACCCCGAGCCTAACGACCCGGAGTAGGTCCTAACGAGGTACATACCTAAGGCTGGCCGGTTTCAAGAACCTTCCCCTGTACATGGTACACTGCACTCCCTCTAACAGACGCCGGTTTTACCCTATGCGGCTTTTTCCCGGCGTTACTTGTAGTTAGTCCAACTCAGGTAGCTTTTTGCCCCCCGGCGTCGTGGGCACGACCCAGCACCCTCGGTGGTGAACCCCGTCGAAAAATAAAATAAATTAAATAAATAGAAAGATAGCCTGGGCTCAAGCTGATCGTGCCACTGCTGGCATCTACAGTCTTGGCCGTGCTCGGCAATTTTCTCTTTCAGAGCAAGCCGTTCAAGAATCCTGGTAAGCAAGACCGGAGCAGCGCGACCCGGGCCGCTCAGATGCAATACAGTTACTCAGCATAGCTAATGAATCTGCATGTTCCATGGCTTTGGATCCTGGAGTGCAATCTCAGGGTTGCAAGGATGCAAGTTTTCGGGAGGGAGGATGATACCGTTGCTGACGGCAGCAATAGTGTCAAGTGGACCGCTTTCATGGTCGTACAAATACAACGTCAAGACTGCAAGGATGACTTCAGCAACAACGGACTGATTTCAAGACTCTACTCCAACGACGATCCTAAGAGTTAAACGATGCAAGTAGCGGCAGAGCTGCAAGTATAAAGATGGGTGAGTCTACGCCCGTTGAAGCCGCAACGGCTAAAGGCCAGCATCAATTTCAATCATAGACACAAGTGACCATGCGGATTCTCTCTGTCCTCGTTGGAGCTCTCTCCGTGGCCGGCTTAATCAGTGCTGCCCCTGGAGGTGGTCCTGGTGGCCCTAGAAACCCTCCTTCTAGTCAGGAACTCGAGGACCTTGCCCTCAAAGAGGTCAATGTGTTACAAAAACAGTATCAAAAGAAGATAATCGACCACATCAAGCCGCGTAAGACCGGCTGTACCCAAAAGAATATCCTTCGCCGCAAGGAATGGTGAGTGTCCTCTCTCAACCTATGTCTCTACTTTCCTTCGCCTGAACTACCATCTCCATTTAACATAACATCGGCCCTTACACCGAATACTGCAGGCATGCCCTATCCATCCCAGAACGACTCTCCTACATTGCAGCAGTGCACTGCCTGCATCGCAAGCCAGCCGTGACCAACCGCACTTTGATCCCTGGTGTGCGAAGCCGGTACGACGACCTAGTGGGTATCCATCTCTTCCAAACAGACTTTGTCCACTCTTCAGGCTTGTTCCTGCCCTTCCATCGGTACTATGTCCATCTGTACGAGAAAGCCCTTCGCGAGGAGTGCGGCTACCGTGGTGCACAGCCATACTGGGACTGGACGCTGTGGTATGATGATCCCCGACGGGCACCATTGTTCAATGGCAGTCCTTGGTCGATGGGCAGCAATGGGAAGTATATTCCTGACAGGAATGACACGCTGATTGACATCGTTCCGGGATTCCCTCCATTCCTTGTGGCGCCGGCTACAGGAGGGGGATGCATCGAGCGCGGTCCGTTCACGGAACAACTGTGGAAAGCCCATATCGGTCCGGTAGGGATCAGGCCTCAGGGTCCACAAGGCGGGCTGGAGTACAACCCTCGGTGTTTAAAGCGAGACCTGAGCCCCATCTGGTCTCAGGATACGAGGCCGACAAACGCGTCAAAGCTGCTCAACTGCCCGGATTTGGCATGCGTGAATGAGGTGTTTGATGCCCCCCAAGGGATCCATGGTTCGGGACACTTCCAGATTGGAGGGGAGGAACTGGATGTCTATGTCAGCCCAAATGATCCCATCTTTTGGCTGCATCATGCACAAGTTGACCGGCTGTGGTCGATTTGGCAGGGATTGGATATCCAGAACAGGACAAACCAGGTTTGGGGGACTGTGACGACGTTCAATGGTGAGTATTTGCCCTCAATGTGGAGGAGGTGATGAAGGGAGTTGTTAACTGACACGACGTTAGTTCCGCCAAGTGACCCTGCTACACTGGATTCTCCGGTCCCATTTGGACCCCTCTTGCCATCCAAGCCGATCAGAGACTTGGTGTCGACGGTAGATGGGGATATGTGTTACATGTATGAGTGAGAAGCAGAATAAGTCTTTTGGATTTATTTGAAGGGAACGGTGAGAACATCTGCTTTTTTTATTTTGCACAAAAGAAATGTCCGGGATTGCTGTTTTGGTATTCTACTAAAACCTTGCGACTTCATAAGACGAACCTCTCTTACCTCCCTCAACTCAAATATTGAGCCAGTTTAGCATTGTAGTTGTCTGGCATCCAGCTTTACGGAGGCCAAATTGTCATGGCAACCTCAGCCTGAAAGCGAGGATAACTGGAAACTGTGTGAAATTGACAGTCGCAGTGACTTTCTCCTCTTTGGCCTCTTCCGGAAACGCCAGCTCCTCCAGAGCATCCATGACCAGGCCCTCACGAAAGAACACACCGAAGAGCTCGTGCATCGGCCGGTGGAAGTAGATCTGCCATTCTGATAAGCATGAAAGTAAAAACTCGCGGTGTTGAACACCCACCTGCTTCTCCGGTTGCCCCACAACAGCCACTCCCTTGTAAGGGGCAACATTCATGTACTCCCTCACCACAATACTTCGCAAAATCTCAAACTCCCCCGTCTCATGGTTAATTCTGACCTCCACATTTTTTGCCGCTTTTGATGTAAAAAAAGCCGGATGCAGTAGAGTCGCAACAAACCTGACATCTCGTCAGCTCAACCTCCCCACCGCCAAACTTGGTCTTAAAAGTGAGGTACTCACACTCCCCCCTTTCTCAGCAAATGCGGCAACGTCTTCGCCAAAATCCACACCTCCCCGACATCCATCAACGCCATATTCATCAACACCACATCCCACTTTCCTTCGGCCCTCACCAATCCCACCAAATCCTCCTTACTCGTCACATCGACCTTCCTAAACCTGACGACCCCTTCCAGCCCAGCCTCCTTAACCCTAATCCTCGCCACATCGAGCATACTCTCTGCCCCGTCCGTCGCAAGCACATCTCTTTTCCCAGCAGGGTCCATAAGGGAGGCCATCCATCTCGCACAGAGGCCGTTGCCTGTTGCGAGGTCCAGAGCGCGGCAGCCGCCTGATTTAGAGAGGTAGGCCCCGAGGAGACGACGCAGACAAGGTTCTTGGAGATGGCGCCAGTATTTGTTGCCGTTGGGCGTGATCTGGGCGTCCCAAGCTTGAGCATTGGCTTTCCAGCTGGAGAGGGCTTGCTGGGAGAGGGAGGAAGTGTCGTGGCCCATTGCCAGTGATTGTGGCTATGAGGTTAGTTGGGAAATGATCGTCAGTGCTTGGCTTTAGGGTGGTGGAAAGGAGCCAATGAACTGGAAGCAGCGAGAATATTAACAAGCAGTACAATGGAGAAATAGGACAAGTAGACGTTTAGTACTGAAAGGCTGGCTATGAGAACAGAAAGCAGATTGGAGACAATGTTGAAATATGCGATGGAGCTTAGCTCGATATTTGCCAAGGTTGGGCTTCAGGTGACTCAGCTGGGCTGCAGGCCAGCCGCGCGCTTAAGTAGGGGGGGTACTTGGTGTCGCCCTTGAGGTGCCGCTAAAATTAACGCAGCGATGACACTGCAAACATCCACAGAGTTATCACATCCAGGGACTTCAAAGATTTGCAACTCAAATCACGTTTTAGGTCCAGCTATCAAGATATCTAAGATGCGCATGATGTGTTTCTCATGCACGGTCTCCTTTGCTGACCAGGCGTTGCAGATGCCAGCCAGAGACCATCTCTATCTCCATAAATCTCTCTTCATGTTAATGATCCCCCTCCAAGCAGTTAGTAGAGTCTAGACCTCAAGGCCTCCACTCTTCAAGCATGCACCATCCTCCAGTCGACTCTCATCTGTTTCCCGTGATGCTTCACCTTCGGGTGGCACCACAAACCACTCCAAACTTGAACCGTGCCATCCTTGGTGTCTGGATCCCAAGCATAATTAGAAATTGCCCACCACATATCCTCTGTTCCAAACTTAAAGTCCCACATATTCTCCGGGCGATCCTGCTTATAAGCCTTGGACAGGCGCACATCAAAGGCACAGGTACTGTGCTTGGCGATCTGCACCCAACGCCCGTTCTTCTCATGGGCCTTGGTGTCATCCAGCGTAATGAGCCAGTAGCCCGGGGTAGGTATGTCCTTGAGAATGGCCTCGCAGTCGGCGGACTTGGCGCGGTTGCTGTTGCCACGCGTAAACTGGCCCATCTGGTACTTCTCGCACCAGTCATCTTCGCCTGCCTTCTGGTTGCCGGGGTAAAACTGGGTACGCTTGATTAGGGTTGTGGTGTTGGTAGACTCGGTGACCGCGGCCGGGGTAAAGTTGACTGGGGAGGCACTGGCCACCATGCTGGCCATGGATATGAAGACAACGGTAGTAGTGCAAAGAGGGAGCATGGTCAATGAGTGAAGTGCCGAGAAAACTTGATGTGAAGAGATTAACTCTTTCTGTTGGTGAGTAGAGATCTGATCCGATACAGAGGAACTGGTGGATTTGTGAGGGGATTAGAGGATTGTGGACTGGAAGATCTGTTACGTTCAGAGAAGGGATCGAACTCAGATTGCATGGTAAAAAAGAGGGTTAATTATACTTTTTAGGGTATTTAGGGATCAAAAGTTATCACCAGGCTTGCTGCCGCGCAGTTTCCATCTGAGCTTGCCATAGAGAGAGCACCGCGCAATTGGCTAGACCGGGAGCCTTCCAACTAGTAGCCAACGCTCTTTGATGGCAAGAAGGCAGTGGGAAGGCAGGTACAGATGACCCTGGTGTTAACCAATTCTGCGAAAGTACTTTGAGTTGGGATGACAACACCTAAAGCAGAGAGCGGGGCTTCTGCTTACCTTTTAGAGCCGTAGACCACGTAGATTGCATGCCTCCGTTCTCTTAGCGGTGCCTACGTTGTTTATAGGACGCAAAAGTTTTGATGTTGAGGTGGGGGTCTTGTAGCACGTTTCACCATCACCCGGCAACCACTTCAACATATCAAATAAACACATATCTCAGTTTGAAACCTGATATCCCCGCCATCCACATGACACAAGCCCGCTCTCCGTTCCGCATACACCAAACTTTCAATCAAGGTAATACGGGAAACAGAACGCAATCTCAATGACATCTCCATCCCCAACTCCCTACATCATCTCAATCACCCTCCCCGCTTTACAATCTTGTCGGTAAGTCAACGCTGAACACATCGGGATCTTCTCTTCGTCCTCACGACTACTTCCTTAACAACCCAGCTTGGCGGCGGCACGAAGAAAGGCCACACAGGTAACTCCTTCCTCTTCTTCTCCAAGCACTCCTCTCCAGGCTCAACCAATACCGGCGGGATATACAATCCCTTTAGCCACTCTGAGGGCGTCATTAACCTCTCTGTACACCCACTTCTCTCTCCAACACAGAATATTACAATAATCCTGTCTTCAGCCTCCATCTCTGGGTCATCCTCATCCTTATTGACAGGGTGTGGAACCACCATTGTGAGATCGCCGGCTCTGTCCTGACCGGCAGGAAGGCGTACGTTCCAGAGAAGGGTGCCGACCGTCCATGAGGCGTTGAGGCTGAGCATGTGGACATGTGCTGGGAAGGAAGGGGTCCGGTTGGACAAGACGTAGCTAAGTACATCGCCGTGAGTGAGGTAGAGTATGGGAATCGGGTCAGATGTGGCTGTATGGTAGGTAGGGTTGGCCTTGTTGAACATGCGAACAGAGAACCAGTCCGATGGGATGGGAGAGTAGCGTTTATAGGCAGTAATGGACCGTAAGACGTGAAAAGTTGAGAGAGAACGAAGCATGGAGGATAATTTCTCTGAGGTACCTTTCTGTTCTGGTGAGACAGGCGGAAGCCATGGGAGTGGTTCACCTCTAGCATCTGCGATGACAAGACGATCTTCTTTGTCGGATGCAATGGCTAGGATCTGTCCCTTTGGGGACTCACCAGCAACTCCATAGTCTTCGTCTACAATGAACCAGGAGTGCCTGCCATCCTCTGGAGCAAGCATCTTCTCGAGAGTTTCAAGGCGAATGGCGCTCCAGGGGGAGCTTAGCCGAACCACTGTGATCATGTTTTGGTACCAGAAACTCCAGGGGCGAAGGATGTCACGGAGTCTTATCGAGCTTTCCGAGTCATCAGATGTTAACGTATGTTGCACATGGCTGTGCCAGTTTACATGTGCATAGCCAGCGAAGTCAAGCTCATCGGTATCCCAGAGGTGATAGTCCTCATTCGTGTCGGGTGCCTCAGCATCCCTGAACTTTGAGGATGTGCGCAAGGGAAGGGACAAGTACTTGATGCAGCTCTCGGCCAGAGTCTAATGGCAAGCTGCCATCGTCAAGTCCCCCAGCCAGTCTGGCTCCCTAGGCCCATTGCCAGGGGAGTTTTCCAAAAGGAAATCTTTGGCCGTCTGATGAATGAAGTAGACCCTGCCATGATACACATCCAGGAAGTACTTGCAGGCATCCAGGATCCAGCTACGGAAGCCATTCACGTTCTGCAGTCCCAAGCCGTGGTCGCTGCCATTGTGACAGTCCAATATGTTCAGCGCAATGTTGACCTCCCTCAAAGTGAGAGGTCGAGCGGCAGCAAGAACAATTTTGAACAATCTTCGGACATCGTCGCGGTGACACTCGCGAACACGGTTGAGAAAGCCGAGATATGCCTCCTTGACGGTTCCTGGGAGGGTCTTGAAGACGTTAATCCAGCCCCAAGGCACCCGCGGAATACCCTCTCGCATTCGCAGCTCCAAACAATCAAAGAGAAGTTTGACGTATAGATATGTGCGGTCTTCTTTTGGTTCAATGAGTGCGAGGAGCTCCTCACGAAGCGCCAGGTCTTGGATGCATTTGTCGGCAAACCGGTTGAAGCGCGCCAATACCACCTGGCCGATATCCTTGCTGATATGTTTCAAGCAGTGTTCGTCTTCTTCAAGGTTTAGGAACGTCACTCCTGGAAAATTGAATGATGGCTGAGGCGAGACCAGAGGGCGTGTCGTGATGAAGAACTTGACTCGAGGGATCGGGTGAGAAAAGTACTGACTAAGCTTCTAGCAGAGCTTGTTCGCAGAGTCCGGTTCGCATTCGTCAAATCCATCGAGAACGATTGTAAAGCAGCCTGGGTCACACTCTCGTGTTGCCTCTTCCAAGAGGCTCCATAAAAGGTCGAAGCGGCATCTTACTTCCTCCGGCAGCATGTTTTCAACCTTGGTGTTGATACGGTCGATGAGCTCTGGATGCTCACGAAAAAGCTCGGACAAGATTCGACAAAGTGCTGTGTTGGCCGCGTTCTGACCTCTCCCGTTGTCCTTGAAAAAGTATGCACACACTGTCGTGGGCCTCCAGTTAGGGAGATCGGTTAGCAGAGACTTAGCGAGGACGGACTTTCCAGAACCGGGGATCCCCTCCAGAACAAAAACTCCGGACTCAGCCATTGCCCACTTAATAAACTTGGGATGTGTGAGAACTCCAGCCCCAGTGCCATTCTGAGGGGCTACGATGCTGTCCAAGTACGCCTGGTAGACCGAGTACGGAAGATCATCCGGGAACTTGAACTTCAGAAGCGTCTCCATCCTTTGCTTGTGAAGAGCGTCCTCGGAAAGCAAGTGAAGCTTATCCAGGAGGTGTTGCTCAAAGTTGAGACTCATGTAATCCTCCAACCGTTTCTCGCTCTCTTTGATATTGGCGATCATATTATTCCAGTCATCGAGTTTCAAGATGTCGCGAGATATTGTCGTTAGGGGTCGACAATACGTGTAATATGCACGCAAGTGGTACTCGATAAGGAGCTTATACAGGGAAACGATCTCGGACCGGATAACACGACGAAGAGCGATAAAACTGGGACTCGTGCTGTGCCAATATTCGCAGTTTAGGAGCTCCAACACATGGCCGTACCAGGTAAATCGAGACATGACATAGCCGAAGCCTGCTTCGCGGGCGGCGATCTGCTCGGCATGATTGACGATAACCTGTGAAGGTTAACAACAACACAGAAGTTTAAAGGGAAGGGAAAGCATACCGGCAAGAGGATGGTACAAATGCCGGTCCATGCCAAAGAAGCTGGAGGTGAGGATGCAAGAGCGGCGCTAATAACGTCCTTCATCCTCTGAATAAACTGGACCGCCGCCCCAACAACGGCCTGCTCTGTCGAGTGTGAGTCACGTCTCGTAATTTCCATGTATTCGTGGGCAACCCTTCGGAAGCATTCTTCGTTATTATTCACTTCCTCGACGCACTCAAGCTGGAAATTTTCCTTCAAAATGGTCGATTGCCGAGAGGAACGACGCAAGGCGAACATCCGGCCCTCGGCAACAGTATTGAAGAGCTGCTCATAGTTGAGAACAAGAGGCCTCAATGCCTCATCCTTCTTGACTTCGTTGTAGGCTTCCTCCCAAATCTCGCGACTCAGCAAGAGAGAGTCCTGGAGCGATGCTAAACCAGCACTTCCCCGACGAGAACTGAACCGGACGGTGTCGCAAGATGAGAGCCGTGAACTGTCACGAACGGCATACGCAAAGGTCTGGGTCAGCGGCGAAGGTGATCGGCTCGGGACCACAGGAAGAGGGACAGCTGACTCGGGAGAAGAGGAGGGAGATCTTTCGTCCTTCGTGGGGATAACTGGACCTAATGGAATTCTCGGGCCTGGAGAGGGTGGGTCTCTGTCTCTCCGTACTGGTAAGCAAGCACAAGTAATGAGTCCCATGTCGATAGCTGGAAAAGCGGGGGACTAGGATAATAACATGAGTAAGGGATACTTTAAAGATTGCTACTTGTTTGGACTTGATCAGCCGGTTCTGCCTTGAACATGCGCCGAACAAGCCGCAATGCTGTCGGATGGCAGAAATGACGCGTTGGCAACCAGCAGACATGACCACGGTCACATGGCTTCTTTGACATATTAAGGAAGCAACAGCGGAGGCTCCTGACCTCAAGATAAGGAGACTGACAGGTGCTGACAGGAAGAAGAGGAACAACACTCCACTCACATTAGGGCACAATAAGGGCTGTTAGAGTAGGTGGGACAAACCGTGGCTTGCCTTAGACTTGTGGCACAGCGAATAGAGCAATGGCCTGCCCAGCGAGAAGGTCAATGTGACCTTCTCGACAAGTGGTCGATGCAGCATGATCTGGAATGGTCAAAGAATAGTGTAGGGTCCGCACAATGTGGCACAATGGCCCTGACCAGTTCTGCGACGATCAGTGACGGCGTCGGTCAGTCTGAAGACTTGCACACACGACAACAGAGAAAGAAAGCATCGAGGCCTCAAAGAATATTATCAACCCGGGTTCCAAAAGTAATGGCCGTGGTGACAGACGTTGGCCGACGTAAAGCAAGAACCTGAGGGTCTTCGAGTACAAAGCAGCCTTAGGCTCTGTCTCCTAGGTCAACTTTCTTCGCTCGAGACAATTGATACAAGTCTATCAAGGAGCAAAGGTTGTTAAGCAGCCCGCTGGTAAGATTCTCCCTGATCATCTCAAAAATCTTTGACTGCCCAAGCGACTCTCTTCAAAGAGCCCTCTGTACGCTTTCGGACACCTAACAGAAGAAAGAGAAACGAAATCAACCAATCAACAACCATCAAGATAAAGCCCATAATCGCCCTTTGTCGCTCTCCTCGGTGCCGCAAATGCCATACCTATGGCTGCCGACTCTTTTCAGGTGACCGGACAATCCATCATCGATGACGTCAACCAGACCCCAGACGATAATGTGATAATGTGTCTCATTCTAATCGGGAAGATCAATGTCCTATCCGTCAAAGACTCATCTGTAGTCGCAGTTGCGAAGCGTGAGCCGGTCTTTGGTGTACATTTTGATTGGCTCTACCATCTTCAAGGCTTCTCCCGAGAAAGCGGGCACTATTGGATCAATCCCCGGTGGTGGAGTGAGTGCAGGTGTAGCCACTTCTGCTCTGGCCAACAATACCGAGAAAAAAATCAATGAGCGAAGAGTTTCCAGTAAAGACCAGAGTTCTTTTCAAGGCATAACGGACTTTAAATAATGGCTGATCTCCGATCCCTCCGAATCGAAGGCATACGTCATTGATAGCAGGCCGGATGGTTCATGCGGAAGGTGGGGCTATCACGAAGGAATCGATGGTTCCTTGCGTTGACGGAAAGAAGGGAATTGGATAGGTTCTTCACAAAAGACGTGGTCGTCATCTGGATATCGAAGAACTTGGACATGAATCATATTGGTCGGAAACCTGACCGCCTCAGCAGAATGATTGGATTTTGATGGCCGCACTATCATAATGGACATAGAGACGGCTTGATCCAAGCAAAAAGAAATAGAATTCTCTTGTTCAGACTTGTCTCAGGGTCCAATGGTTAAACATAATGGAAAGGGGATATAGGGGATGGCAGCCGAATTGTGGCGGGCGCTGGACTTTGCGGGTCTTGGTGGTGGTTTTGAGGTGGGACGGTGCTACTCTGTGTGTGCCCCAAACTTTGCATCTATTGAAAGCAGGATATGTACATAGTAAGACGGAGTTATCGCAATATCGAGGTCCTTGGGCCAATTGCATTCTGCTTTTGATAAGAGATAAGGGACCACAAACAACAGCAGCCATGGTTTACACAGTAAAGTGTTAGCATAGCCTAGGTAAGTGAACCATGTTGCATTTCGAAGGGTCACCACATTTGCATTTGTGCATGTGTGGTTTTCTGTGATACTCCTCGCCACTCTGGTATCTGATCACACAAGTATAGACGGGCCAAAGAAACAGCCTTGTTGCGCTGCTGCGTATCACACAGCTGGCGGGTTCCAACGGATGTGGGTCTTGCCTTGTGGGGCCAGGAACAGTCGCAGTGACCTGCAGCAGCCTGCATTTCTTGGGACAGGGGCTGCAGAGGTTGTAGCAAATGGCCTTTGTCCGCATGGCCAGCGCTGGACCTGCTCTCTTTAACTCTGTAGCAGCGATCCATTCCCTCTTTTTTGTTGGCCAATTGCCCAGCCACCAGACAGCTGCTGTCTTCGGTCGTTGACTGTTGCGTCAATTCTCCTCCTGTCCGAGAAAACTGACTCGACCCAATGTCATGTTTGGTGCCGGCCCCGGATACAGAGAGCTGTGAACGGCAGATGAACCCTCCATACTTACCAGAAGCTCGTGGCTGACTTCCCCCAGGGTTGGCAACATCAGATTATGCTGAGCCGAAATCGCATTCCCTGTGCGCCGAAGCTCGATCATCCATACCGTTCCTAAAACCACCCATGTCTGCCTCAGGGCGGTGAGCTCCTCGCGCTTCGCCCCACGTCACACCTCCACCTCTCCACTGACTGGCGGCGAACTATCGCCCTGTTGCGTTCAGGCTGCGTTATCCGTCGCGCAGCAGCAGCAGATTAGACGGAGTTGTCATTCTTCCATCCGCTGGACAAGACGCACAACGCATCGCCGGGCCCAGCGTGAGGTGTCCCGCGCCAGACCGAGAGAGGGGCAGATCGGTTCATGGCGGCCCTCTCGTCTTTGTCTCCTCTTCCTCCTACTGCTCTGTTCACCTTTCTTCAATGAGCCACGTATTTGTCAGCATTGATCATTTAAACTACTGCGACTATGATGCTTGCGATATCGCCTGGGATTTGTCTCGAGCCTTAAAGAACATCCAGAAATCATGGCTAAGTCAACGGTTTGGGACCTCCGAAACGCCACTTCGGCCGATGGCGTTGATGTGAGCTTGTTATTAAATGACATTCGCTGCTGCTGTCAACGAGATCAGAATCGGTGTCCGGCTCTGCAGCATTTGAATGTCATCATCGAGATGATACAGGAGCATTATCAGAAGCTGGTCAGCAGACTGGACAGCGAGCTTCGTGAGGCTGGTAGAATGGGTTATGTGAGTTCTCCCGTTCCTGTTTTCCGCTTTCTTTCATCTGCTTCCGAGGCGTGGAGCTTTGTCTGCCACTCATTGTGCCATTTCGAGTCCTGTTGCACTCAATCCGCACCAATGCAGATTGTCATAATCGTTTTCCTAGTCACATACACCTGGATCATTTTCTTGGATTCCCATCATGTCCTGCTGGTTTTTCCTGTAACCCCTCTCTGCCATGGTTGTCAACATGGTTAACACGCCCTATCTAGGACTTGATCCAACAGTACGAAGCGAGAATAAAGGCCGCCCAAGAAAAGGCAGAGGAGAAGGCCCAAGTGCACAACGCTGAGATAGAAAAGCTTCAACGGGAAAGAGATGAACAACAGATGGAGAATGCCATCCTTCGTCGTGAAAATGTGAAGCTGCAGAAGAGAATCAATGATCTTGACCGTGATCTCCGGGACGCTCATGAGAGGGAAAAGAACTTGGACGACGAGCTCCGGTATCTTCAGGGCAAAATCAACGAACTGGAGAAGCAAACACAAGAAGTAAAGGAGTATGAGCTGCGGATTATTGAACTGGAGCGTGAAATCTCTGAATACGACGAGAAGCTCCAAGAATGTCGGAAGCAGCTTGAGGATTCACGAAAAGCTGCTAGAGATGCTAGAGAGCACCATCAGTTAAAACAAAAGGAGCTCGACAGTGTTCAAGAGGAGCATCGCAGATTAATCTCGGAGTACGAAAAACAGACTATGAGTTTGAAGTGCCAAATATCTATCATGGAGAACAAGGTTAAACGACAAGAGGAGGATAAGAAGCTCGAGGATCACTACGGTACTAACACCTTGTTTGCTGAGGTATGTGCCTTAAGGGCCGCATACGTTGAGCTCCAGCAGAAAAATGAAGAGTATCGCGCCGAGTTGGAATACCTCCGGGAGGAAAATGTTCTCTTTCCATTTGGGAATAGCTATTGGCCGAGGGCAGCTCGGACTTTGCAAGCTGAGCTTGAAGGAACTGACTGTCCTATCTCACCTATCCAAGGTCAGGAGACCACCGTCAACTCCCATCTGATAAATTTCCCTTCAGGTACGGAGAAGGCAAGGTTTGCTCTGCCTTCTCTGCTCACATGCACTTCCGCACACCCAACAACCCCGAGGACTTCGCTTATCCATGCTCATCGAGCAGCTTTTGACCGCACTTTCACGGCCACGACGCCTAGAGAAAAGTTTGGATTCCGCAATCCCGCCCGTTGGTCCGTACAATCGACTTCTCAGTCAACCTTCGCATCCTCCTCGGCTCCTACTTCACCTTCAAACCATCGAACGTCTGTTTTCAGCCCCGCTGACGATTTGTCCTCCCCGATTACTTTGATGAGTACAACTGAGCCGACCTCACCTGGATGGAAAACCATGCCGCATAAAAGAAACCCTTCCCAACTTTCGGTTTACAGCATCACGGGGAGATCAGTGTTTTCTCCAGATAGGAAGGCACGGGCATCCACGCACCATGTTGTCGATGAAAATTTGTCTATAAGGGAAGATTATATGACGAGATACACTACCGATGGCCCCTTGAGCCAATTTTGCGATACGATTTTGGAAGCAGAAAATCCTGAGCACACGGAGTCGAGCTCAACTGCTCTCATCCACGGCAACGTCGCGCAGCAACATGGCCGCCGTCTCCGCAGGCGTGTTTCCCACGAATCAGTTATTCAACTTTCCAATGGAATGGACGTCCATACACTAAAATGCAGGCCCAGTCAGCTCGTATTAAGACAATTCGGACTTCCTGTTCCTGCCGCTGCTAGCCCAAATATCAGCGTGGTCACTGCCCATCCTACTCTTCTCAGAGGCCCTGTATCAGGGGGTAAGAGGGGCAGTGTCATCCTCCGCGATACCATTCGAGGGAGGAGCACCAACCAAAGGGCTGTCACAACTGCATTAGAAGAGCGAAGCGCAGAGAGGGATCAGGATTCAAGAAAGTCGAAAGGCCCCCTCGGATTGGGCAAGCTGGTGTCGTGGATGCCCTGGGGCAACAACTCGAACAAAGAGTCAGGCCCACACTCTGTTGCTCTTTCAAACGCCAGCGCCGCTGGTGCATCCCCCTCCGCAAGTCCCCGCTCGTCTCCTGCCGATAATACTGCCAGTTCGACAATCCTCGCCCTCTCGGTGCCGAACAATGACACCGCCGAACCGAGCTCCTCCACGACCCCCAATATCACCGCCCAACCAAGCCTCTCCTCTAGCCTGACCTCCCTCTCGGCACTCTCCGCAGCAACCTCAATCTCTCACACCTCGGCCCCGACGCCATCCAAGCGGGATCCTGTTGCCGCGCATGCTGCAGCCATGAAGGCCATGTTCCGTGCTCCAGGTGTCAACCAACCTGGCATAGTACCCGGGTTTGAGACGAAAAAGAAGCTGCGCGGGGCACCGAGTAAGGTTTTCGTGGAAGAGCAGATCGTTGGGAGCGTAAGGGAGGCGATGAGGGAGGTTTTGGAAGAGGTTGGGGAGTAATTCTGTGGATATGTCTCCTCACGTTGACATATCCCCCACTCGTTTTGGATATATTCTTTGTCGATTTCTTGGATCAATCTCTGGCGGAATGCTGCATTTCAAGATACCATAGATTTGTGTTTTTGGAGTTTTGAATTTCATTAAACATGTGACTATGGAGTTAGGTGCATTTGGGCTGTTGTCAGTTTTAGATTTCGAGACAGGACATCCTGCTGCTGTCAGCATGTTCGAGTGGACATTAATGATGCTTGGAGACCGGCAATTTGACTAAGACATAATTACATGGTAATATGTAGTATTAATAGACCATGTACCCATCAGAGCATGAACTTTACCTTTCCGCGGTTCCGACAAGTCACATCAACCTGGAGCCTAACCCCTGAAGACATCTACCTCAGCAACACAGGGATTTGTGGCTCGTGTGGGCTAAACTCACGATCCACAATACTGTTTAGTCTCGCAGTGGAGCTTATTGCCGGGCTCAGAATTGCCGAGACGACGATCTTCCTTTACGGATTCAGGGGCTTCTACTCCACAATTTACAGCCTTGACTTGAATGACACTTTCACAATTTAGAAAGAAATTCGCCATTAAATCCCACCACCTGTCCGTACATACTTCTGGCTATGTTGCATAACGAGGGTCATCAGCAGGATGCAGGTAAGATACTCGTTATCCGTTGCCATTTTGCCCTTAGCCTTTCTCTGCCTGCTCTGACATTATTCCCACCTTCGCCCCTCCACAGAACAAACTTCATGGTTCAGGAAATCAACTGTTACACAAACATCCCGATAGACGGAACCAGTCCTGCTGTGACACTTACAACTTCCGACTCTCTGAGACCCTCTATGGCCCGGCCCGTGCCCGATCTCATTTTTTTTCCCGAGAATGACAGGATCTAAATCGGGTTGAGAAGAGCTATCACGGCCAGAATCGACCATCTACGTATTCAGAAGCTCAAGCAGTGGTGTTCGGGCGAGCCCAGGTGCCATAGATGTTCTCTAGGTAAATGATGTTGTTGAACTCGACCTCGATGCTCTTCAGCTGCCACTGGTCGATCGTCCGGTTCTTGTAACCACCGAGGATGGCGATACCGCGCACAGGCTTGGGCTCCGGCTTCGGTCCGTTCTCAGCGTACCAGATCAGGCCCGTGTTCGTGCAGTTGAATGGGCCGAACCTGTGAGTGATATAGAGCGGGAGGTTATCCGGCTGAAGTGGAGGTGTCATGTTAGTGCTGCCTCCATTTCAATTTTTTGTGCTCAGCAAGGACTTACAGTGTAGGTCTGGTATCCAACGAACGCTGTCTTGTTAGGGAAAGTATAACTGCCAAGAGGGATACCAGCAAGAGTATTGATGCTGTCGGACCGGTCATAGAAGCTCTTCGCGAGCCAGTCCGCATACTCTGGCTTCCAGCCACCAATGATGGCGGCGTACTTGTTGACCAAATCATCTGCAGACTTCTTGGTCAGACAGGTCTGGCCGCGCTCCTCAATCTCGTCACGCTCCTCGACATCGTCACGTTGTTCGACATCATCGCGCTTCGTCTTACGACCCTCCTCATCCGGGAGACCATCAAGCCCATACGGCCCGAATGGCCAACCATCGTGGTCGAAATTGACCACGTCGCGCTTGCTGCTGGGCTTCTCGCTGCGGGGTGCACCAGTCCAGCCGGTAAGATCTTGGGGTTTTGCTTCGCGCTTGACGTTCTTAAGAATTGACGCAGCACTGGCACCTCCTAGGCCAGGAACGGGCAGATCAAGTGAGGCCAAGGGAGCGCGGCGCCTGGGCTGGGTTGTTTCAAGTGGGTTAGTCGCAAGCTTGACAGACAACCGATGATATGACGATGCGAAAATGGTATCTCAAGTGATGTCTATGTCGGGAATGCTTACCGCGTCTTGCTCTTGAGCAACAGGCGTTGCTAACCCCGTCGCCGCGAGGGTAAGAAGGGAGATACTGGGGAGGAAGCGCATTTTAGACTTGATGTAAGCCGCTGCAACGAAGTTCTCTTGATGCCTTGTTAGGGAATTAAGAAAGGGCGACTGAAGGACAACTGAAAGGGAATCAAAGGGATTATTGCAGCACGGCCCTTTTTATCGTCATCCATCTTTCTTCCGGGCACGCTTTCGACTTCGTCGGACAACATTATGTCTGAGCCTCGGGGTTTCCCCAAATCACTGCCGGAGAGCCAGCATCACGGAAGGTTGCATGATTGGGATTCAAGGCATAAGCTGACAGACTGTCTCGCAGCTCATGGGATATCCTAATACTACAGACCCTGACAGCTGCTAGCTCTGACCAATAACCGTAGTATTCTGACTCCGCATGCAGCAGCGGCATCTGCAATGCGAGGTAGTACAAGTTATGTGGAACGAGCACCGGAGCTCAGCAAGGCTTTGTCGGGCCCATAATCGGTCTTTGCTCAAGTGCTGGGCCCTGACAGATATACACATCATGTCAATATTTGTGCTTGAGTATACAGCCACTCAGCTGCATACGAACAGGCCAGCCTCTTGTATGGCACTTCGAGTTGTGTTAAAGAGGTTGCAGCTCTGCGCTGCTAGTTCACTGCCGTCAAGCCCCTCACGGTGCCAAAGCTTTGAAACAATTCGACTCGTCTGATGCCTTTGTAGAGCTTGAGGATTAAGAACTTTACCTCACTGCCAACATAACCGCATCTAGCATGGCTAGACTGTTTTGTAAGCCGTGGTAAATATGCAGATAAACATTAGGTCTTTTGACCTCAAAAAGGGTGTGTAGTAGGATATACTTCAAGGTAAAAGAAACAGCTCGTATCCTTTGCTCATTAAACTTCATGCCGATCTCTTTGGTGTCAAACTCTCTCCAATGTTGTGTCATCTATGTGCTTTTGATATCCGGGGTACAAAAGCAATATAAACCTTGCTTCCAATCCGGTACTGCGTTGAGACACCACTATGTACGTCAGTATTCCCCTCAAAGGTGCGACCAACAACAACGATATTCCATGATCGTCGAGAAGTCTGAGCGCGTGCCGCTCTATAAGACATAATTATTGTCATTAATGTTATGGAATGTGATCACATCGCATTTTGCGATAGCAAAGTGCGGTTCTCAATGAATAATTGTCCCACTTTTCCAGCATGTCTAGTCCTCACTGTCTCAATGACATATGCCAGAGACTCCTGAAATGGCTTCCTGGATGGCATGTCCGAGAAAAACGGTAAAAGGCACTAATGTCACTATCTCCAATATTTCCTGACTAAACAGCGAGTCAGACACTTTCCCGCATAAGATTTCGCCACATATAAACATAGTGTCCTATTCGACGTGGAATTTGGAACGGCGCTGAAGTCTTCAGTCCCATATCAGCCACGGTCAAATAGCCAAGGGGGTCACTAAGAGTTGTGTGCAGAAGAAACCGTATATTATAACCTTGTATTTTGCTTCTTTTACTGAAACAGTAACTGTATGGATTAATTTCTTGGTGGCAGCTCGCAAGAGTCAACAAGCAGGATGGTAGTTACATATGATTTCAGACCTATTCTTGTATTGACATCAACGGCCGCCTATACCCCAGAGCATTTCGGTACTCATATCAACTATTCGAAAAAAGAAAATCACAACTCGAACCTTCCGGCTCAGCCAGGGACCATCAAACAGTACAAGCCAACCTTCCTCAACGCCCTCCCTACCCTCCCTCACGTATGACCTCACAATCTCGATCGATACACACCCTTAACAACAAAGAATCAGAATCGGAACGGTCTACTTTGGACATCCACATATTTCACACTCACCCCTCCTAACCCGTTTTCCTTCTTCCTTTTCTCTTTTTCCTACATCTCTCCCTTTTCCAACACCACTATCTATCCCACGGATATGCACCGGTTTTTCCCTCTCGGGTAATTTCCCGCGTGTACATGGCTTAGGCTAGCAAGTACATATGTACCTTTTGCCTGCCGGCGTTGTGGGCACGACCGAGCATACTCATGGGTGATGCGGATCGGAAATGCAATTCAATTCAATTCAATTCAAAGCCCCTCAGGATCCCTAAACAATACCACCATATACTACTCCCCTGATCATCCTCTACAAACTCGCACAGCTCCACAACCACATCCACTTTCTCCATGATGTAGCTTTGCCCTTGTCCCACCGCCACTTGTACCGTGTGTGTATGGCAAGAGGGGTAAACATAGCCAAGGTTAAGAGCAAAAGAGTAATGGATTCGAGGGTCGAGAGCGTTATCATCAGTTGCTGCCAAGTCTTGGTATCGCGCAGTTTGTAGTCTGAGACACTGAAGTCTGGTAAGGTCCTTACGTCAAGGGCTAAAGATCGTGTCGATGTATGATACCGAAGAACCTGGTAATAAGAGTAACTTGTCATTTTAATGAGAATCAGTGAAACTCAGTCTTTAGTTAGTTTCCTCAGAGATATATACCATTAGTTTGCGCAGAATCGATACTTTCCCAGCTCTCAGGCGACATCAAAATCTTGGCAAGATGAGTAAGGCTATCTGCGCGAAGATAAAGCGGAGATACTATGAGCAGTAACAGACAGGTCCCCGGATCAGGACAATGAGAATCTTGAGGATCTGCATTGCATAAACGAACCTCGCCACCTGATAATCAGCTGTCAGATACAGGCACACATACAAGACTCAGTGCAGAAGAACAATGGAAATATGCCAAGAAAGACTTTGGTGCTCAAAGCATGTGCGCTGAACAAGGCTTTGGAAGCCAGAGTTGCACGGAGATATGCCACTGCCGATGAGGTACTGTCCTCTCTGTAAGTCTGTGAATGCTGGGTTGCGTCGATAATAGCTCAGCTGCCGGAACTTCTTTGAAAGGAGCCAATCAATGACACGAAGTTCGCGCAACTTGGCTGCTGGTTAGTGTAACACTTTGATATGGTGTTGGCTGGCCAATGTCTCCGAATGGCTCACCCTTTTGTAACCAAACATTTCATTCTTCACCGGCCCAATTAGGGCCGGGGTTAACAGCCACTTAGTCCCATCTAGACTTACGCCGGTGCGGTCGTCCCTCACCAAGGTCATGAATGCGACACTCTGAGCGATCTTCCCGGTGTGGCGGACGATCCCGACCGCGTGGCTCTGGTGGCTAGTTGACCTCTATCCAGAGCACCTGCTTGACAGAGAGCGAGCAAGGTGAAGAGCTCGCACAGAGGTGTTGCCGGCCAACCACCCTCTGTGGATCAGGCTTACCGTACCCCCTTACCAGGGCTGGTCTCGTCTGCACCAAGAGGCCTCCGGGCTCAAGACTAAGCCCTTATGGGAGCAAAAGCACCTAGGGATTAGGGCGTGGCTCGTCCTCCCATCTGTCCCCCCAAGAAACAACGAGTGCCTCCTCTGGATATGCGTAGCTGGTGGCGCAATAACAAACCCCCCTCGGCCTTCTGGGCTGGGCATAGTGCTAAACAATTCTTTGAGAGGTTCACCCGTCAATGCCTCTTGCGATGGTTGGCTGAAGCCTCGGGCCACAGCGACTTCTTAGCACTATATGCGCTTCAACAATCCGCCGGGGGCTACCAACAAGTGTCCCTGCGGGGCGGTAGTTGTAACGGGTGACTTGGTCTGGTGCAGGCAGGGATCGACAATAAGTCAAATGGGTTAGATAATGGCCACTGACGATGTGGGGTGCACAGCGAAGTCAATTACTACGTGTAATAATCTTTCTTGGTCCTCAGTGTCCTTGTGTTAGGGAGAGAAGGAACCAAGGGAAGTCTATCATGACCGGGCAGCTTCCTTTATAGAATCCTCATCATTTCTCGGCAATATGGCTCATTCACTTCGGTCATCCGGCTCTAGACATCTTCCGGGATCAACCACGTATTTGTGCCGCTCACAATCATCCTGTCTCTGGTGTCCCTTGTGTTGGCAGTCGGGGACATCCCTTTCCTTGGACTGCCGTGTCCATGTGACAGGAGTTTCCAGGGGACACTTCTCCTGCCCTCTTGTTTACCTCGACAACCCACTCACGGGAAGTATGGACCCTAGGGCCTTCTGGTTCTCCTTCCAACTCTTCAAATCTAGAGTCTGCCGGGTTGAACTCTGGAGGCAGCGTGCGAGCCCCGTTCAGTGACGACTCTTCCTCTCCCCGCCTCCATCCTTTCCCCCCCTTTTGAACCCGAGGGCCGGACACGGTTTCCCCGAACTACTCTCCCTACCCTCAACCATGCGACATAACAACCCTCCAATATCTCACGTCGGTTTTTCTCTCACGAGGGTCTTTCCTCCGGCGTCACCTGTGATTAGTATCTTAGATAGTTCTCGCCCGCAGGCGCCGTGGGCACGACTGAGCACCCCCAGTGGTGAAACGGTTAGAAAATAGATATAAATAGATAATAAATTTCATTCTTCTGGAAACTTCTTTCGCTACACTAAATAATCAATTTTATATGTACTAACTCCATACTTTAGCTAATTTCAATGGCAATGTCATGCCACTCACTCTCGAGATGGTTGGGCTAACTTGTATGTTGAAGTCCTGTACTAACTGTCAAAGGAGGGCCCTGGGCAGGGTTACATTCTTCTGACAACTCTTACAGCCGACAAAAGCGAAATAAAGATATCCAGCCCGCCGCGATAACAGCGAGAAATGCCCCAAGTCACATGGCAAAGTTTCATTTGGTGGTAATTTGTGCATGTATCAGCTGGCAAGCCAGTCCTAATGGGGTTGGACGTGACAATTTTCCAGTCACGGACAGGAAAAGTCTGTTCCTAAAATCCTATCTGCCAACATATTTTTGTGCAGTAGTAAACGTTTTCATTCAACTTATAAAGCCCTCAATGTAGCCAGGGAGGTAAAGAGTGTCATGTATCCTTCACAGGAAGTATTGTGTGATGCTGAACCAACTCACAATGGAGAAAATAGAAGCCTACATGAACTCAAAACGAGCTGGCATTTGGGAAAAAAGTTCCCATATATGTAATATCATAGAGAATGAGCGCTGAATACCATTGCCTCATACA